ACTGAGACCCAACTTGCTTGCAGTATATGTACCCACAGGTGAATGAATTAAACTGACTATTGGCAGCAGTGCGGTGGAATGTTTTAACTTATTTTGGAGGGTGTCGTTTTTGTTTTTTTGTTGTTTTTTTTCTTTTCTGGGGGGGGGGGATCTCATCGGAGTAGATAGTAGATGGTTTGGGTTTTTTTGCGGGCGTTTATTTGAAGTAAATGTCACTTTTAAAATAATTTGGTTTTAATTTAGTTCAGTGGACTCACAATAATGCTTACAACCTCATGTAACTAACTGGTTTAAATGGAAAGAGGTCAGTAACTTGAGTGATATATAAAAAGAGCATCTTGGAGAATTTCTTAGGAGCAAAGTTGGGCAGAGATTTACCAACCTGCAAAAAAATTAATTTGTGGAACAATTTCAGAATAATGCTCCACTTCAGGTTTTTATTTGTAATATCAAAAAATCCAGAGAAACCTCTGCCTGAGAGTGTGTCACAGTATGCGGCAGCACACTGTACGAATTTGCGAAGAGGATCCAAAATGCAGAGATCAAGGAACGTGGACAAAACTTGAATGTTAACAGAAAGTGAGCCTTTTATTAAGGCTGGTGAAAACTACAAAAAACAAAAGGTGGAGATGAAGCTAAAAAATAAACTGGGGAAACTAAAAAAAACTAAAAAAAAAACATTAAAAAACAAAACATAAAACCTGATGTGGATACAAAGATACCTGGAATCTGGAGCATGAAACACAATGTGGCACAAAGAATGAAGAGAAACACAAAGACTAAATACACACAAGGGTGATTAGGGGAAGTGGAAACACATGGGGAAACAGCTGACACTAGTCTGACAAAACACAAAGGAAGCAAAGCTGGCTACACTGACATAGGATGCAGACCTTCAAAATAAAGCAAACAGAATGGAAAGCAGACATGACAATACAATTTCACAACATGGACAAGAAGACAAACATGACAGACTAACACAGAAGACCTAAGTGAAACATAAACTAAAGGCAACCAAAAGATAATCAGATTTACTCAACATATAAAGGGATAACTTAAGAACTCAAACTGAACACGCTGGGTCCGAGACGCAGGATTGTGACAGTGTGAAACTCAGTACTAGATGACTGTGATCTTCAGGCCCTTTTGGGTGTGATATTTTTTTGTCATGACGATCCCTGCAGGGTCTCAGGAACACTTCCAAAAATCGCTGTCTGTGAACACAGTTCAACCTCCTGTCCACAAGTGCAGGTTACAGCTCAATAACTGCAAAGAAGCTGTCTGAACGTGATCCAGCATGTTCTTTGGGCCAAAGCTCATTTAAAGAGGACTCGGGCAAAGGGTAAAGCTGTTCTGTGATCAGCAGAGAGGGATTCTGGGATCAAACAGCCTCACACCTCTGCAGACTTTGTTCTGTAATATTTCACGCCTTGCAATGATATTAATGGAATATGCTGTTCTTTTTGCCTTTGTGAAGCTCAACTGAGTCGGGCACACATTACAATGTTACCTTCAAAAGTGTCCAAGAATAATTCAGAATGAATAGTTATAAGTTTCAATGTAATGCACCACTTTTAGGCTGAACCCTTAAATTATTCAACCCGAGGCAAAGTCTCAGTAATGTTGACCAGAGTTTTCCGAAATAAGTTGGAGCAACTTGTAGCAAAGCAGCCACAAATCTTCACTATAAATAATTCATCAGAAAATCCGACTTCCCACACCTGGTAGTATGAAATGAGTGGAGGCTTACAAAGATGTTGGAGGAGATGGCGCTGACAGACCTGTAGAGGGCGATATAACACAGAGACCAAATAAAACGCTTGAAAGGCGATGAGGTGTGTTCAGGCTGCTGAGGGAAGGAGCGACTGTTTATCAAGTTTAAAGTGTTAAAAACGGGTAGCGTGCCGTCAGCACGTGCAAACAGCATGGGTGAAATGCCGCAAGACTGTGCTGCCACAGTAAATACAGAAGTAAAACACCTATGGGTTGTCCGGTGTGATGTTGGCTTCCTGATTGCAGGAAGTTCAGAGAGAGGAGAAAGTGAAGGAGGTGCAACCCCTCCTCCTGCTCCTTCTTCTCCTCTCCGGCAGCTGAAGCCAAACCCTCCCTTACCTCTGCACGGTGCCTGTCTCCCCCCTCCCACCTCACTGGCCTTTATCATATATCACATAGCGTCGCCTCTTCATCCCCCAGACCTCATCATGACCTCAGCGACAGGAGCAGCGAGGACGTCTCCAAAACCCTGTTTATAACGCAAAGTTGCCAAGGTAAGATCCCTATGCTGGTCTCTCTTAGCTTTGGGTAGCTGCTCCCTATCATCATCATCTTCTTCTTCTTCTAACATGGTCATGAGGATTTGCTATGCAGTCTCTTTATCCTCTGCAAATATTGACGCGAGTCTCGCTTTGCTTGTGAAGCGTTCAGCTCTCATTGCTGCTCCAGTGTGACCAGGCTCATCCTGTACAGTAGGTACGGCTAGTTTCACCCTCACACCTCTGCAGTAGAGTTCCTGTATGTCGGTATTAGTCATAATAACATTTCCAAACTCAAAGTGAAACTCAGTCCCGCCACTGTGGCGAGCATCACTAGACTGAAAGCATTCGCTCTTAAGGTTACTTAAACCAGGGCCGTGAGCTTTGTGGTACACTAAGCTTACTTAATAAACGACTACATCCAAGGCAGAGCCTGATGGCTTTTACCTATGATAGCATTATTTTTAATGGGATGCTGTGCAGCTATACTTAAAGCTACATCAGTGTTTATTTACATACTTGTGGAGAGGAGCAAATATCCTAAAGCACACAGATAATGTCCTGAGTGCGTAAGCATACAGTGGAGGATATTAAACCAATGCTGTGTTTTTTATTCCTTCTGGAAGTTGCCTCAGTGGCATACAGCAGTGTTGTTGCTTTTTCTTTAAACAGGTTGCATTGTCAGCAGACAGCGCAACATGTTATTAGCAAGTTAGTATTTATTATGGTATCAAACAGATTAGTCTTGTAATGGTGTTGAATCAGACAGGCATTGTGTAAAAGAAGGTTACAGCCTGCACAGCCTGTTATCAGAACATCAAGTGTATGCTGGTTTAACTCTGAAAGTGTTCCACTTTGTTGGCTTGCTGATGACATTGTTAATAAAAGGCAGCTTTGTGGTGTTTGTAACATTACTGTGATAGAACATAATGCAGATTTCATGTGCGTAAGGTTTGCTATAGCGGTGCCAGTGCTTTGCCTGCAGAATGCTTTGATGTGACCATGTGTAGAGGAGGCACGGGGACTATAGCACATACTGGGAGCAGATCATTTCAAAGCGATGCACCGCCTACAAGACACGAGGAAAAACCAAGTCATTTAATTTTGCCTCAGGAAATATATAGCCTGGTCTGTTAGCAGGCTCATTGCATAATAACCTAACTTTGTTAGTTATCTTTTAATCTTTTGCTGTTTCGGTTTCATGTTCTGTGCTTCCTTACGAAAGTTGTGACGTGAAAGTGGTGATCTTGAGATTTATTTCAGCAGGCTTGCATGCAGCTATAGAAAAATAAGTGATTGCAATACATTATTGAAAAGAACTGTAAAATCTGTTCTATAGCATGGATCAAATTGAACCTAGCAGGTCCCTTCTGACCATTTCCCTAATTACATCCCAGCAGGCTGAGTTATTATCCTGCTGTATCTCAAGTTTTAGCTTTTTAGGTGATTAACAACACTGTAAAATAGCGTAATAATGAATTTCCGAGCTTCAAATCCTCTAATACATCAGCCTAAATCCAGCAGGAGCAAAGAAAGGAATTCTGCTCAGAGGCCAAGAAAGGTGTTTGGATATTTACTGTGCCCTCACTCCCCTGGCTGCCAGCGTTATTTCATAATGGCATTTCTTGGGTCCTGTGGGTTATAGAAGATGCCACTCACAGATGGAGAGTGTGTGTGTGTGCATGTTTGTGGAGAGATGTGCAAGAACATGGCAAACACTCTCACTCATTAGTACCTGTTAGAATTATAAATGGGTGGTATATATAGGGTGGAAAGTGAGCAGAGGACATGGAAAAAGGGGACTGTACGTCAGGCTGAGAGATAATGTTGGGAACTCTAGCTGAAAACTGATCAGCTCAGCTCACATGGAGAAAAACAAAGCAGCTCTTTCTCAGGAGTATTGATTAGATCCTGGCTCCCAGTCAGCTACCCCTGACTGTCATATTGTGTGTATCTTGTAGTATCCACAACAAAGGCAAGGCAAAGATTATAATGCCTCACCTGTCATGCCTTTTAGCCTATGTACTTAGCTGTAGCAAAAGAGTGAATAAAAGCAGTGAGGTGTGTGATATTAATAGGTCAGCATAAATGATGACAGGAGAGAAGAGAAGATGCTTAACTGTGCTATGCATGCAAAAAATGCTGCTCCATTACTCTCTTTGATCCACTATAGGGAGAGGCTGACAGTGGATCTGGCCCCAGCCACCAGAGACAGTGTGCTACAGAGACAGATGCAGCTCTCTGTTGAATGTCACATCCTCGTTATGGCTCAAAAGAGACCAGAGAGAGCCTGGTGTGTGTGTGTGTGTGTGTGTGTGTGTGTGTGTGTGTGTGTGTGTCTGAGTTGGTGTGTGTGTGGGTGTGTGTGTGTGTGTGTGTGTCGTGTGTGTGTGTGTGTTGTGTGTGTGTGTGGTTTATGCTCGACTGTTTACTGTAAATGGAGGCAAAGCTGTGAAAAGAAAAAAAAAAAGAAACATTACAGTAAGTAGGTTGCATCACCTGGCCGTGGTTTGGCTTGAAACTGAAAAAGCTATTTCCCTTCCACGCACAATCACATTTTTATGGCTCCCATTTCACTTTTTTTTCCTGCTCGTGCTCTGTAGACGGTCAGCTCTGTAGTCTCCCCTGTATCCTCCTCAGTCTCACCCACCTCCCTTCTTTCCCTTGGCAGACAGTCCCATGGGCCAGAGCAGAAGGACGCCAGCAGAGTGGAGATGTTCAGAAAGAGGCCTCCCCCAGGTCAGTACATTAATCACATCTGCAGTTAAACTAGTTTCATCCAGTGTGGCTTGACAATGAGAAATGCAGTTAACCAAATGACAACGTAGACATGGAAGGTGTGATGCATGCTGCTCGATAGCAAGAATGCATTCACATATTTATCTACAGGCAGAAACAATATGCTGGAAAACAAACATTCAATACGTTTCAGACTATCATAATGTATTAAACAGCACTTATTACTGAAGCTCATCTGCAGATTCCCAGACAGACAATGTATTATGACACCAGTTCTCTGGAGGGGAGGGTGGGGGCTCTAAAACAACCAGATGGAAATGACTGAAAGATAGAAGTTTTCACAAACACTGGCCGAACACAGCTTTAGCCTTCAGTTCAATTCAATTTTGTTTATATTTCACCAAATCACAATAACAGTTGACTCAAATGACTTTATATTGTAAGGTAAAGACCCTAAAATAATAGAGAGAAATCCCAACAGTCAGAAAACCCCTTCTGAGCAAGTACTTGGAGAGAGTGGGAAGGAAAAACTCCCTTTAAACAGGAAGAAACCTGCAGCAGAACCAGGCTCAGATTGGAGGATCCATCTGCCACAACTTGTTTTACATAGTTTGACAGTATCATTGAATGCTTCTGTGGTTAATAAAACAAAGGAGGTTTCCAAATTATTACTAAATTAACTATATAAGTTATTTATATCTTACTGATTGCTCTTAAACCCGGTGGGGCAGCACATTGGTTGCTTTGTGTGTGGACTTCGCATGTTATCGCTGTACCAGTACGGACTCTCTCCTGGTATTTATTGTCTTGTTGTCTAGTAATTTTATTTGTTCTATACGCTGCTGTGAGAAAGACTGCCATCGAAAAGACTTTCATTGTACAAGCTGCACAATGACAATAAAGAATCTATCTATATAGTAGTAATGTTCTGGTTTGGTTACTCTGGGGTTATAAATATGGCTGTAGGTGTGAATGGTTGTTAGCCCTGCAATAGACTGGCAACCTGTCCAGGGTATACCTTGCCCTGCATCAGCTGGGATAGGCTCCCAGCCTCTCTGCGACCCTGAACTGGATAGATGTTAAAAAAACAAAAACAATTGGGAGTAACATTCTTAAACCTGACTTTTGTGTGTGTGGCATTGATGTAGATGTATGGTAATGCCTGACTCAGGCTCCAAGCACCGAGAGGCATTTTAGCCATGAGAAGTCACTTTTCAGACCTCGAAAAAGTAACTGGGAAAAGGCCAAGTGTCTCAGGTGTGTGCTAAGTCCGCACAGAACCAGAGTACTAGTTCAAGCTAGTGAACACTAACAAAGGATCTCCAAACAAGTCATATTGTCCCCTTTCTCATTTCTCATTTCCTGCATTCTCATTTCCTCTCATCTTGGTCCTTCCCATCAGAAAGATGAACAGAGGAGGCGAGGGAGAGAGAGCACTTTAACAAAATGAGACATTCTGGAGCCATAACCCAATGTGAAAAGATTTTTAATCAAACCCACACAAACTGTGAAGGCCTGAAAGTTTGATCACACAGTTAAATAACTGAACGGCGTATGGACTGAAAGGACTGTAGAGTTTGTTGCATATATTCCAGCTGTGTGACACCACTTTTATAAAGTGTTAAATTAAACACGCTCCTGCAAAGGATACATCTTTCCTGGCAAGCCTCCTCTCTCCTCAGTCCTCCAGATGCATTTTAGGAGCTGAGACGTCCTTCAGTGAGGTGCACTGACATGGATTTCAGGGCCAGAAGCAAGTCGACAGAGGAAAGGGGAGACTAGGAGGGACAGATTATAGAAAGTGAGAAATGAGAAAAGTTCTCTGTTCTCACAGTCTGACGGTTTCGTAAAGCGTGTGTTTTGACTGCAGTTGATGCTCGTTTGGAGAAGAGGCACTGGTGTAAGCAGAAAATGCTAATTATTAGAATACAAGAAAAGAATAGAGATTAGGTACAGGTGAAACACGAGGTTTATGCACGGTAAAAACCTGACTAATGTTGAATGAATAAATTAATTAATGAATTGCCATCATTGATTAGATGGTAAGTGGACTATGGTATTTATATACTGCCTTTCTATTCAATTTGAGCTCTCAAATCACTTTCTACTGCAGTCTCATTCCCCCAATCACACTGAGAGTCATGCAGAAGTATTAGCCGTGCTTTTATCTATCTTTCCCTAAGCCTTCACACGATCTGTGTGCGCTCATCTCTGAAAAGAAAAAGTCAAATCAGAGCTCGTGATCTCTGAATACAAGACGCCTGCAGATGCTGATCAAAGTGAAGTGGTTTCATCAGTGATGCATTGCAGGTCATTAAAGAGATTGCCATAATGTCATTGTTGTACCTTGCCGTCATCAGTCCCCATCCATAATTCCTGCCCCGTCAAATCTGTTCTGATAGGTGTAAACTAACTCTTCATGTGCCAAAACAACCTGCTGTTTGTAGAGGAAGTTGCCTGTTCGCCCCCCGCAGTGCTTTGTTTTGGTTTCTTAGGCTCATGCTTCACATATAGATCAGGGAGAGCCTCAGCCTCAACACGAGGATCGCCGCTCAGCACGTGCCCGGGCACCTGTCTGGCCCTTCCCACTGCGGCACACCTTCTAACGTTAGGATCACGCAGGACACTGAACTCCTGCACCGGACATTTTGGCTCCAAACGACAATTGGACTCCACACACGAAAAAACGACTTTAGATCCAAAATGGCGACCAGTTTCGGCTGTAGGACCCGTGGTGATGCGGCTTCCATGGTAACGCCTCTCGCCTTTGAGATTGCGTAATGCCTACACGAGCATCAGTGTTTATGTTTCGAATGAGGCTGACAGTGAGGATGCAGCCCGTGTGGCTTGATGACGCTGCACCTTCAAACTTCACATAAAGCACGATGATCACAGAAAATACAGGTCCGAGCCCTGCGCTTTATTTTCCTAATTAGAAAAAAAGATGACATCACTGATCCCGCGGAAGGAGGGAGACGAATCAGCAAGGGGTGGACATCGCGTGCACGTGTGTATATTTTGGGGGAGGGGATGGAGCAATAAGCAGCAGAGGCTGGGACTGGGACTGAGTCTCTAATCTAACTTGACTGAGCTGGGGTCGGAGCTTCGTGCGCGCGTCCTTGCGGAGACGTGACGGTCAGATGTGGCTGTGACTTGTTACTGAAACAGCGCATAGCCAGCGATTTAAGGGAAAAAAATCATCACACTGTGACTTAAAGAAATTTAAGATGACAGTGCTCAAAGACATCCCGGAGAAATGGTTTCCAGTCGTTCTTTTCCCCCTGCAAGGAAAGAAAAAGAGAGGACTGGATGGAAGAAAATCGAAAAAGAGGCGGACAGGTACGAGTCTGTGCGGGGAAAATTAAGGCTGAAGTTGGGAAGAAGTCTTTACTGTCTTCACCGCCAGGAGGCTGTTCATCGTGCAAACTATTTATTTATTTGTTTCCTAATAAATATCATCTCTCATCTTCATCCCATCTGAGTCCAAGTCTCATTCCTGCTGCTTCATCTCTCTCTCACTCTCTTTTGCATATGTGTCATATTACATCTCTGCATCACAGACCTAGTTGGTTTGTTTGGGGTTTTTTGCACTGTAGCACTTTGTGTCATCAGTGACTGTTCAGGTTTTTACACATCAGCATTCTCCTAAGATTTAATAACAGAGAGATATCTGTTGTTCTTCTGATTTCACACTTCAGTCTGTATCTTTTGGAGTTGACCCCAACAGCCTTAAGCTAGTTGCTTAATCTCAGCTGTTTTCCGGTGTTACGTGCTGACAGTGAATCATGCCAAACACCAGAGTTTTGCTTGGATCCGGTCTAAATATGTGGCTGATGTTCGTGTCTCTGCTGCGTGAGTCCCTGATCAATCTTTCAGGCGCCAGCCCTCCTCTGCACTGCTCCATCTGTATTCTTATTCCTTAGGTTAACTATCTCAAATCACCCTGGATGTGCACCTTCATTTGACCTCCACTCCATCATTCTCTGACTGTGTCACTAGCATTTTTTCCCAGCAAATTAGATCACCGTATGCGCTTGCTGGGCTGTACACACGACTCCGCTATCCCCTTTTCACCTAATTAGATCAGCCACTGTGAGTGATGCTCACTTCTCTGCAGTCTGATCTGACCCTGACTTAGTTTTAGTCGTGGCAGGGACATTAGTGCTTCCCGTACTGCAATTCACATTGAATGACTGTGGTCGTTATTGTTCCGAATTCAATCTGCACTAAATCTGTTGTGCAAGTGTGTCGCTTGTGGAGACGTAAGGAGATTGTGTCCTCACATGTCCAGCCATGAGCAGAGACAGTGTTAAAGAAACAGGAAGGTAGATGAAACAAAATTAGTGCTTTTGTATTAGGTTACAGTTACTCTTTCTATATGACATTAGTTATTTTAGTTTAAATCAATATATATTAACTCGTTTGTGTCTCAGCCCTTTATGGAAACCTTATGCTGGGAGTAAGGCTGCCACTGAAAGTTTCTCCGTAATGGAGCTTTATAGATTCACGCAGGTTTACTGTATGGTATGCAGCTTGCGTCAGGGCTTCTAATGCCCTTGAAGTTGTCAGAGACATTAAACACTTACTGAGCAGTTTGTTAAAGATGCTCATGCATTTAGGCTGAGGTGTTCAGCTTGCACAGCAGTGGCTGGGACAGACACAGGCTGGTCCTGACTTCACATTGGTGCTTAGCTGGCACAAGGATCTTGGCTTTTCCCACCAGGCTTGGCACTGCACGTCAGACAGATCTCTCTGGTGGACATTTGTCTCAGAAAACAGCACGATGACCTTCGTCTTAGGAGGAGAAATGCCAGAGGGATTGGAAAAGTTTGTGGATTGTGCACAATCACATTCACAGCTTTTTGCATGCACCCAGAAATCTCACATCTGTCAGATAGAAACTCCAAGAAAGGGAAGTTGATGCCTAAAACAATTTTCTCTTATGTAACTACTTAGATTTTTTTCTAATAAATCGTGCTACTCAACAACAGCCACAGTGACAGATAGGAATATTAAAAACAAAAGTAACTCACTTGCTTTTGGAAACAATGAAAAACAATTTGCCTCTTCCTGGGGGCTTTGTCACACTTACATGCTTTGGATCATACAAACTAATTTTAATAATGAACAAAGTTAAAGACTACAGTTTTGTATTTACTTGCGTTAACATCACTGTGGAGGAATTTTGGTCCACTCTTCTTCGTAGAATTGTTTTAATTTAGTCGCACTGGATGGTTTTCCAGCATGTGCAATCTTTTACAAGTCACGCAAAAATATCTCAATCTGGTTTTGTGGCTTTGGCTCAGGAGGTAGTGCAGGTTGTCTATTAATCAGAAGGGCAGTGGTTCAATCCTGCACTTTTTGAGTGAGATACTGAACCCCCAAATTGTTGAATGTTAAATAGACAAATATATTAAAAAAGAAATCGGGAAGGGGCAAATACTTTTTCAGGGCACTGTGCAACAAATTTTGACCATGCTTTTGTTTTCTCGGCCTTCTTTTTCCGGTCCTGGTAGATAGTTACTCTTCACTGAGCGTGGTTCTGCTTGAGGTCTCTATGTGGTAACAGGGAGTTGCCAGCCTAACAAGCACTTTACCGGAAATTATTGCATTGTTGGAGTTATTTCTATAATGTTGTATGGTCTTTGCTTTACAGTGTAAAGCACCATGAGGTGACCGTAGTTGTGAACTGACCTCTTTTTAATAAACCGGAGCAAAATACATTTAAATATGCCAATATTTTATCAACATAACAAACAATGATGTAATCATTTCTGCTAGTGTCCCTCTCATTGTCAGTCTCACTCAACACCATCAGCAATAAGTGGACGTAACGTGTTTTTCTAAATTGACTAAAACCACCCTGACTGGTCTAAAGCCAACCAGAGCTAATCTGTCACATCAGATCTGTCTTATAATCTGACGGTAAAGTGCAGCTCTAATGGGATCACTTTAAGTGGCCTCTGTCTCTTTTGGTGAAGCTGAATACAGCAGGGACAAAGATGTAGGTTATGAGCAGTGCGAAAGCTTCACTGTGCTGCAGAAACACAGGAAACCACAGCGTCTTTGTTTATGTGCCGGCATTTGATTATAGCCTATCGGTTTCTGTTGTGTGATGTCCCTTCCTGTGGCACCTCACTGCCTTTCACAAATCTGTCAAAAGTATGCTAAGGACTGTGCTTTCGTGCACAAAACATGCGCTTGGTCTTGGATATTATTACTTTGGTGTGTGTGTGTGTGTGTGTGTGTGCAGCCCTGTTCAAAATGACCAGTCATTTCATTTTAAAAGCCATTTCATTAATATTAGAAGAGAAGCGACTGGTGTTGGAGGAAGATGAGGAGGGGAACTCCCAAACTACTTTGCATCAGCATAACAGAAACCTAAAAACAGCAATAGGATAAAGTGCAAGGTCAGGAGGAGGGGTGCACAAGAGATTGAGCACAGGAAAAAGAAACGGTCTTAATTTTACTCTCTGAAACTTGGAGACTATACTATGATCTGCCTTTATCGGTGCCTAAACTTTTGCACGCACACTCATGTTTGGTTGCGTGTATCTGGCCACGACTGCACATCTGGTTAATAACAAAGAGTAGTAGCAGCTAACGAAACATCAGCGATGATTGGCCTGCTTATTGGTTTTGCATGCCTCCTGCCTGACACTCTGTATCTATTACACTCAACCAATGCACAGCACAGTCACTGATGTATGAATACATGCTTCAACACTGCCGGCTGTTTTCTTCCATACTGACCTGTACAACTGCAATTGCACACAATATAATACAGTATTATATAATAACACTCATACCTTCTGAATGTCCATTACCATTAGTAAGTAAGATAGCATCCATAAGTATCTTGTACTTTATATTCTAACCACAATCAAACCTTCTGTTCATACTACTTCATTTATCTTATTTGTTTTTCTATGCTTATTACTCTTTTCTTTTCTTTTAGTGTAGTTATTTATTTTACTGTGAGGGCAACTCACAAAGTAAAATAATCATTGCTCAGTGTAACCACTGTGTTTTGGGGTGTATATGACAATAAACGTCTTTATTTCACTGCTTGATTCCCTCTCTTTTGTTTCCAGGTTTTAGGAAGCTGTGAATAGTGCCGACATTTTTAAACTCTGCAGTTTGCCAAACATGCTAAAAATTCGTCCTTATGCAGACTTACTGCATGTGTTTGTTTTGATGCTTTAATGACTCATCTTGTGTGCTGTGTTTCCGCAGAGGAGGAGAGAAGGGTCAGAGCCAATGACAGAGAGTACAACGAAAAGTTTCAGTATGCCGTAAGAGAGTTTGCTGTTTTCTATTGTACATATTCGAAATCTTTATACCCGTAAAGCAATTTAACTGAGAGGTATTTTCTTCCCTCCTAATCCTCCAGAGTAACTGCATCATGACATCCAAGTACAACATCATCACGTTTCTGCCCGTCAATCTGTTTGAGCAGTTCCAGGAAGTAGCCAACACCTACTTTCTTTTCCTGCTCATACTACAGGTGAGAAATCAAAGACAGACAGGAGGCATAAGGGGCACATGATTTTCTAGTTAACGCCCTTAAAGGACCGTGATCAGTAACTGTTAGTTAAAGTTTGGTGGTATAAAATTAGATGAATATTGGTACATTCAAATTCCAAATGGCTGATCTAATCTGTTGTAGAAATGGAAAATAAGCTATTAATAAAAGACTTTCAGGGAAGTAGTGAGCCTCACAGTTTCCTGCACTTGAGAATATGATGAAAAAAAAACATCAATGCGGAATATGAGATCAGTTATTTCATAACAAATCATTTCAAACACATTTCACTGGCAACAAATGCCTCTTGATTATGTCATAATGTCTAGTGGATGGAGTAACATGAAAATTCATACACACAGTTAGCTCGTTGTATGAATGAGGCAAACTATATGCTGTAAGGCCAGACCAGAGGCCCAAGGCCACTTCCCCCTGTTCTCTCCTCTAGCTTTCCTGTCATAATAAAGCCAGAAAAACACACGTGCCAGAGGCTGATCCTTGGAACTTTTTCTGCACACCAGCAGCAAAATTTCATTACGTGCAATACTTTGGTACTGTACTGTATGATTGTAGTGATGGCATGTTATCAATTATCAATATTTTAAATAATAGTAAATGAGTGTGCAATCAAATGATATGCAGGGAAACCTGCACATCATTAGCACGTGACTGTGGGGCAGTGAGGATGCTGATTTTAAGTCCAGGCTAACAGAGCTGCTGTTAATTCTTTTATGTTTTTGCATTTTTAGAAGCCACTGTAAGTTCTCCTGTTCATTAGGCTAGAGATATTGAGTTAGTTGCAATCTTAAACCTTGCTAGATAAAATGAAATCATACCCCCTCAGCTCCACAAATGCTTATTTTAAAACTACCCAAACAAACCAGTGTACTGTAGCTTTGTTGTTTTTGCCTCCTTGGTACTGTCTCACCACGATTTTGTACCATCAGGTACACTCACCATCATAACAAGCTGTCTTTGATGTGGCTGGGGTTAGACTTAGCTATCTCTGTATCTTACACTGCCTTTGTGTTCCATTTTAAAAGTAATTTGCATAATAAGCTTTGTCTCCCTGTGTTTAGTTGATACCTCAGATCTCCTCCCTCTCCTGGTTCACCACCATCGTGCCTTTAGCTCTGGTGCTGAGCATCACTGCAGTAAAGGATGCCACGGATGACTACGTGAGTATGTTTTCATGCACCACAGGCACAGATACGAGTCTGTATTTCTACTACACGTTACCTTTTGTCATCTCCAGTTTCGTCACAAGAGCGACAACCAAGTGAACAATCGTCAGTCTCAGGTCCTCATCCGTGGCTCGTGAGTCATTACATCTGACAACTTACCTGTTCAGATTTTACCCATCTCTTGATTTAAGAGGTTTCTTAAAATAGAGCAGCATCCGTTACTCTTTTTTTTTTTTTTACTGTTTCTCTTCGTTTTGCTCTTCCAGGCTTCAAAATGAAAAGTGGATGAATGTTCGAGTGGGTGATATTATTAAACTGGAAAACAACCAGTTTGTGGCAGTAAGTGTGCACCCAGCACAGAAACAAAAGAAAACATAGTGATCAGTAGTCCGAAAAGGCCCATTTATCTACCATTACACCAGCTTAGTGTTCAGCACCAGCATCTTCTCGTGTTTTTAGACCTCTGTTTGATCATAATAGCTTTCAGTAGACCACAAGCTCTGATGCTAAATGGATTGTAATGCATTATGTGCCTCATTAGAAGTGCTACATTTAATCACTAACATGCTTTCAGTTGCAATTATTCTGCCTTTTCTTGTAGCTGTAATAGATGCAAACAGTCGTTGCTGTGTCATCAGCGCTTTTCTAGTTCAGTCCATGTTGACCGTGCTGATGCTAATCTCAGCTGTTGTATCCATTTTCAGGCTGACCTGCTCCTGTTGTCTAGCACTGAACCTCATGGTCTCTGTTACATCGAGACAGCCGAGCTAGACGGGTCAGAAAACACGCTGCACCTCAACATCTGTTCGCATGACCAAAAAAAACCTAAAATCTGCAGAAGGAACGCAACACTACATCTAAACTGCTGTGTGTGGTTTCATCTTGCAGAGAGACCAATATGAAGGTGCGTCAGTCTGTGTCAGTGACATCTGAACTTGGAGACCCGAACAACTTGGCTTCATTTGACGGTGAGTTAGGAGGAGAAACTTGTTTTGTCTTTTTGCATTGCAGAATAAGGATTAACGGTCTTCAGCATGCACCAGGAAGCTTGAATCAAATGTTTTCTCAATCATGCTAATGCACATTTCACACTAAAATTCACACATACACACAAACAGAGACACACACTTTCTGTATGGCTCCACCACCAGTGAATGGCAGCCTATCACACAGCCACCGCATCACTGTGTCAGCACATCACACCCACACACTCCTCACCTGCTCGGGAAAATGCATTACTGCAGCAAATCTGCTCACGTTTTGCCTCACATCAGCTTACAAAAGGTGTGTGATCCTCCCTCTGTGCACGTGTTCAGGTGCACGACAACAGCATGATGTCATCCGGGTGATTAATTCAATTCTAAAAACATAGCAGTGACTGGATTCAGATGACTATGAATGAGCATCTAATTTACATTTGTGTGTTTGCTTGTCCACACTCTTCTTTGTTTGAAGGCGAGGTGGTGTGCGAGCCTCCCAACAACAAGCTGGATCGTTTTTCCGGGACTCTGTACTGGAGAGAGAAGAAATACAGCTTGACCAATCAGAACATGCTCCTCCGAGGATGCGTGCTCCGCAACACAGAGGCTTGCTATGGCCTGGTCATCTTTGCAGGTAGGTGTGTGCATGTTTGCACAGAAAAATAATGCATTTGCTGTATGTTGCAAGTCTTACCCTGTTTCTGTTTGCCAGGCCCAGACACCAAGCTAATGCAGAACAGCGGTCGCACCAAGTTTAAGCGTACGAGTATCGATCGATTGATGAACACACTGGTCCTCTGGGTAGGACATCCCACACTTCTCATTTTCATAGCTCATAACTATTTCAGGACATGATCTCACTGGCTTGAATTTAGTTTCATATATCTACACTACTGATGTATTCTGTTCTAACTTAGGCTTAAATGACTATAGATCTAACTGTAAAATTCATTTATTTAATCTCTACTTTTTTGCCTGTGTCCATTTTCTGTCAGATATTTGGCTTCCTGGTGTGCATGGGTATGATCCTGGCTGTGGGTAATGCAGGGTGGGAGAAAGAGGTGGGGTCCTTGTTCCAGAGCTACCTGGCTTGGGACACTCCTGTGAATAACTTCCTGTTCTCGGCCTTCCTCTCCTTTTGGTCCTACGTCATCATTCTTAATACCGTCGTGCCTATCTCTCTATATGTCAGGTAGGAAGAAAACAATAGTTCTATAAGAATATATAAATGATGCTTACAGACAAAAACCCTGTGTTTGCCCTTCCCACATATAAACTGGTGTTTATAAAGAAAGAATGTATGGACCTCATGGATTGAATACTGTGCAAAAGTCTTAAGCCAACCCTCATTTCCTCATATTTTGCTTACTTCATACTTTTTTTAATTGTCTTGAGCAAAAGTGCTCCAGACTTTCTGAAAATCATTTATAGTGTTTCTTTGGACATTAGCTTCTTTTTCACTCATTTTCAGTCCAGTCCGTGTACCTGACAATGTTCGTAGGACTGCTTGTTTTTGTGTGTTTGTTAATCATTAAAACATAAAAATGAAGACTAACTCAAAACCTAACACCTCAACAACTAAAACGAACTATCTACAACAGATAAATAGCATCTGAAAGTCATTATGGAATTGGAAAAGACGAAGCAAAGACCTGAGGCAGTTCTTTGTTCTCTGAAGCTTCATCAGAAATGGCCTCAATAGTAGTGCAGCTGTTAAGAAGCCATTTTTAAGAACTGGCAACAAGTCTGATGGAGTGATGAATCCAAATATGAAATTTTCACATTTGTGTTTAGTGACCGTTGAAATCAAGATGGTCACAGGAGCTAAAGAGAGAGATACAACAGCGTCTACAGCCATCTGTAAAACATAGTCGAGGCTCTGTCTTGATCCCAAACACACTGCCAAAGCAGTTAAAGCATACCTGGATTTAAACACACACATATAAACATTTATAAGCTTTACTTCTTCCTTATATCTTGCAATCTGTGTGTCAATAGATTGCTGTACTTCAAAATATCAAGAAATGATGGGTTGCACAACAATTTGCATAATACTGGACTTGTGACCATGCGTGTTCCCAACTTTACATAGAAAGTCAACCACAATACTCGGAAGTAGAGATAAAGATTAGTTAGACAGCGATTAATATAAAGCGGCAGTTGGAGATAGTGTTTGCTATTTGCAAACATCATTGAAAATTTATCGTGTACTTGGTTTTATCAGTCCTCTTATCACAGTCATTCATTGGTAATATTAGTGCTGTAAAAAGCTGGTGCCTAGTGGTACAATGGCCCCAATTATTTTTCATTTACAAGAGTTTTTCTTCTGTTTGTGTCTCCAGAAGTGAGGCAAACAAAACCCACATTTCTTTTTTCTTGTTCTCTTCATTCCTCTGGTCAAGCCAATTGTGGTCTTTTGTTTTCCAGACAGCTTCAGGTGCAAATAGGAGTGCAAGTATCGAAAGTATTGGTGTCTATATCCAGTCAGAGAAGTGGAAATGAGAGTTGTGCACATGCTTAAATTTCATAATGATTGAGATTTAGAAAAGAGGAACATGCACACACCTGTATAAACGTAATTTTCAAAAATCGCTAAATGCTTTTCTGTCTTTACATGCACACAATCTTACTGTGTATGCAAAGAGATCTGGTCCTTGGTAATCAGTAAGTCAGTGAACTGCACTGACTGCATGCCAAATGTATTTGGCCAGAAAATCTTTGTATTGTTCTGTGCTTACTTGTTCTGTTACTTACTTAGTTACATTTATTTTAAACTGTGAACGGCTCGGAGTTTGTAACCTCTCCCCTTCCTCGCCTGCTTCAGTGTGGAGGTGATCAGGCTCGGTCACAGCTACTTCATTAACTGGGACCAACAGATGTTCTGCTCACAATGTAACACAGCAGCTGAGGCCAGGACCACCACTCTGAACGAGGAACTGGGACAAGTAAGTGTCCAGACTCACTCTGTACTCTGCAAATCCATCCATCGTGCTTTGCTTTGAGTAGTTATATACTCCTAAAATGATCCTAGGTTGAATACATCTTCAGTGACAAGACTGGAACGCTCACTCAGAACATCATGACGTTCAATAAGTGCTCCATCAATGGACAGAGTTACGGTAAGGACACACACAATACATGTGCATGTAGCAGAGACCGTATGTACGTGTATATCAGAGCTCATACATGTGGTGCCGATGTGTTTGTCAGGTGATCTAACAGACCCACTGGAAACTCAGCCAAAGGTGTGTATGAGTATTTTTTGATCAATCATAGCTCACATGCATGTCTGTTATCACCTGTGATTTTATTTATCACTCATTTGTCTTCAGAGGCTGGACTTCAGTCCCTTCAACCCGCTGGCGGACCCAGACTTCTGCTTCTATGATGACAAGCTGCTGGAATCAGTGAAAGTGGGAGACTCGTGCACTCATGAGTTTTTCCGCTTGCTCTCCCTCTGTCACACCGTTATGAGTGAGGAGAAAAGTGAGGGTGAGCTTAAAAAAAGAGAGAAGCTGCAAAACAGCAAATAATGACATCAAAACTCAACATCTGCTCATTCGTTATCGTATAATATTTAACGACTGTTTTACCTGCCTGCACAGGAGAGCTGGTTTATAAGGCTCAGTCTCCAGACGAGGGCGCTTTAGTGACGGCGGCTCGAAACTTTGGCTTTGTGTTTCGCTCCCGAACACCTGGGACGATAACCACCACAGAAATGGGACGCACCGTCACCTACTCGCTGCTCGCCATACTGGACTTCAACAACATACGCAAGCGAATGTCTGTTATAGGTATGCAGCAATCTGTGCTTTTTCTTCTGATTTACCTACAAAAAACCTGCGTATGGTGGCCCCGAGAGGTCAAATGCACAGCAACATAATAAAACACCAGTAAATAGAAAAATTCTACAAAAGCACACAATGGAAAAGGAAACAAATATGCAAAAACAACACTTATAAATCATTGGCTTCTTTCAAGCGTGTCTCAGTGCAATCCTCCACATATTTTGGTTCCTGTCACTTACGTCACATTATTGTCTTGTTTTGTGAGATTTGGGTTTTTTAACTTTCATTGTGCATTGTGTGCTTTTGCAGCATTTTTCTATTTGTGTTTTCGTAAGTTGCAGTGCATTTGACCTTTCAGGGCCACGTGTATCTGTGCAATGTCACAAGACAATCACTTAACAGCTTGCCATAGCAGAAACTGGTATGGCTGTACAGTGCTGTTGTACAGGATGGCATTGTGGTGCAATCTTTATCTTTGTTGCCACATTGTTGCATAAAAGTTCTGGGTTTTAACCTTTGTTTTCGGGGGTTTTTTTGGTCTTTCTGTGTGAAGTGGGTTACTCTGGCTTCCTCCCACAGTCCAAAGACGTGCATGTTAGGTTAACTGGTGATTCTGGACTGCCCGTGAACGTGTATGATTGTCCTTCTCTCTGTGGCAGCCCTGCAATAACCTGGTGACCTGTGTAGGGTGTATCTCACCTCTAGACCCCTTACAGCTGAAATATGCTATGAATGGATGGATGGATGAATATGCTGTAAATTTGACCTCTGGTCATAAATTACTTTTACCTCTGCTGCCAGGCTCTGAGGACACACACATACACCCATAATTATAAAGACTACCGGTGGCCTTTGTTGAAGAGTTCTTCCGTTATTGTAAAGGTGATGGAAAAATTGTCTGAATTGCTGAGATTTCTTTTTTCTTCATTTCTCTCTTTTTTATTTTCAGTACGTAACCCAGAGGGCAGGATTCGTCTCTACTGTAAAGGAGCTGACACTGTTCTGTTGGAAAGACTCCACCCTTGTAACCAGGAAGTAATGAGTATTACTTCAGACCACCTCAATGTAAGTCAGCTCTTGGACGGATGGCTTGAGCTGCACTGCCATCTAGAGTCTCCACACTTTAAAACAACTTTTAACAGCACTTCATTTTTATTTACCTTCTCCTAATGAGACAGTCAACCTCATCATGGCATGACACATTTCTTAGATTAAGTATAAGTTAAAAATCATCAAACAACACTACTTAATGCTTAGTCATGTGATTCTTAATGTCCCTGCTATATATTTTTGTTTTTCTACATGTTTATGTGTATATTTTTGGTGCTAGGAGTATGCAGCAGATGGGTTGCGGACCCTGGCTCTGGCCTACAGGGACCTGTCAGAGGATGAATGGGAGGCCTGGTCAGAGAGCCACCGCTTTGCTGATAAGGCCACAGACTGCAGGGAGGATAGACTGGCAGCAGCTTATGAGGAAGTAGAACAAAATATGATGGTCAGTGAGTTTATTTTCAGATAATGTATGAATCTCTATCAAGATAATGTGTCTTATTTATTGCGTGTGTGTGTGTGTGCG